CCCCCCCCGAGCCCTCCCTGCGTACTCCCTCTTTCTCCCAATCCACCAGAACAATTGACATATAAGACAAACAACGAACGGCATCTTTACTGGATGAGAAAGTGAAGAAAGAAAACAAACAAGACCCAAAAAAAAAAAAAGGAAAAAAAAAAGAAGAAAGAAAGCAAACCATCACTTCCATCCCCCCTTCTCTTTCTGCAATTTCTCATAGACTCCATCGAACTCCCTCAGCTCGATGACAAGTTTAAGAATTTAAACCAACATGAGAGCTACATGCAGATCAATTTCATACCCCTCGAGACCACGCACCTGGTCACCTCCTTTCAAGCAAACAAAGAGAGTGCGAAAACAGATCCATTCTGATTCTGCTTCGTCGACAATCAAGAGACGAGCAGAGATGCTTTTAGTGCTCGGGAAGAGCTATTTGGCTATTTATGGGAGAGGATCAACCTAATCTACAGTGAATTCTCCTAACCGTCTTCACCCGAATAGAACGCCCAGTCATTATCGCCGTATGTGGACTGAAATCTGCCCCAAATACAGATATAATTCCCAGATGTTCTAATCGGGCGAAGACGGTAGTAGTAATCCGCCCGGAGTGGCAATCAGGTGACCCCTGTCATCATTGGCTGAGGGGAACCAAGCAGGGCCTCAATAGTTAAAAGTACTAAAAACCTAACGACTGGCTTTGGGACTGTGCTATTGTCTATAGGGGGCAGCAGCCTGAACTGGCTATGATGGAGGCCCAGTTCCCTGTCCCATTTGCGAGTGCCGGGCTGGGTCTCTGGGACGAGCCGCGGTCCCCTGGCACCCGGTCCCTGCCAGTCCCAGCACGAAATACTAAAAGAATTTTAACGAATTTTAAAGAAATGAAATAGTTCGAAAAACAAAAACGTTCAAAAAACTTCCGAGAAAAGAAAACGCTTTTTTTTTTTTTTTTTTTTTTTTTTTTTTTAACTTTTTTTTTTTTTTTTCTCAATCTTATCTATCTATGTCTATTACTCCACACCTATCTCATCTATCTCATCCTCTCGCTACTCTATGTATAGTACGGGGGGGACCACCAACCAACCAAACCTGGAAGTTTCCCCAGCCCATGGGCCGAAGGGGTAGGTTGGCACCACAGCTGTGGCGCGAGAGCAAGGCTTGTATCAGCCCCTCATCGCGATGAGGCAGGGTGATCAGGCATTGCCGACGAGGGAATTTCAAACCGGCGGTGCGAGTGCCAAGCATCTTTGGCCAGTCACTTGCACCTCCCCCTACCCCCCCCCCTCCAACCCCACATTAGCGGTTTCTAATGGCCAATACCGTCCGTTGATTGCAATGCAAATGTCTTTTAGCTTCGGGCTACCTTGAATTACGTATTAAATTATTTTATTATTATTATTATTTTTTTTTTTAAGGGGTGATGGCCTTGAGATATCATCATTGAGCTGACCCGCCCCAGGCAATTCAGAGATATTTGGTTTTATAATTTTATTCATCAAATTGACAAATTCCATCATCTGGGTTTGAACTTGGGTCTGTATTTCAACAGTTCATGGGTGTACCCACTGAGCTAGGCTCTTGGGGTGTATTAAGTATTTTCAATACAAAACAAAAAAAAGGAAACGAGAGTCAAGAACTTAAGATGTACACCCCCCCTTAAGATGTACCTCCCCCTTAAGATGTAACCCCCCCTTAAGATGTACCTCCCCCTTAAGATGTACCCCCCCCATAAGATGTAACCCCCTCTTAAGATGTAACCCCCCCCCCTCCTCCCCCTCTCAACTCCTTCAAGACCTGTTACAGTGAACAACCATTTAGTTAAATTTGAGTTCTTCTTCTAGAGGCATGACATTGAAATTTACACCCACTGAAAGAACTTTTCTCTCTCTCTCTCTCTCTCTCTCTCTCTCTCTCTCTCTCTCTCTCTCTCTCTCTCTCTCTCT